CTTGCCAAACAAACGATGACTGGACAAAAAAATGGGGAGCAACTCGTTGCGGTTGGGTTACGGTCTAATACATTTCAGAAACAGAATGACGAGCAGTTTTGTCTGAAACGCCTGCCGAGTGTCAAGAGGCAGGTTGCAAGCGGCAAGCGGCAAGCGGCAAACAAGTGTGCCGCGTAATTAGAACGGCAGCACCAGCAGCATGATAATTCCCCAGCGAAATCAAAGAGACTTGTCACAGCTGATGTTTACACAAGATTTATGGCAATTGTTAAGTGTGCTGCGATTGCGCCATGGAACGCATTTAACTGGCATACGATGTGTGTCTTCAAAAAAGCAGTGCACACAGTTCAAGGCTGTGGCAAGCTGAACTGCGTCTGCGTGCAACTGCCACCACAAATTACCCGTCCGTTAATCACAGTGCAGCGAGCGCGTCATCGAAACAAAGGACTTGTTTCAGCTCATATCTTGTATCTAGCTAGTTTATAATTATGATGCCCTTTCTGCCACAACTGGTTTCTGCGCTCTTTGGCAACAATGCCTCGGGAGTGTCTCTCCTTGAACTATCCTGCTCCCGACGGCTCTTGCTGTTACAGTTGCTTGGGTTATTCCAGATTGCACAAAAACTAGATGACAATAAAAATCGACGTCCAGCAACAACGATGACAATTTGGTATAAGACTTCAAACCAGTTTCCAGCTCAATATCATACCCTCTGGCCATGGCAAAGGGGTAGAATGATTTTTAGCAGCCAACATGTCAGCAAATATTTATATTCTAGATGAACAGCAAAGATATCTATGATAATTGGAGTACTTCAGCAGTTATAGTTACAAACAAAGCTTCTGCTCTGCCAGCAAGGGTATTCAGTCTTCGGCATGCCAAACGCAAAAGTTAATTCGTTATTGTTTCTTCTGTTTTGTGCATCTTGCATTCCTGGCTGCGTGTAATTTTAGCCTTTAGCTTTTAAAGAGTTTCATAAAAAGTGTATAAGAAAACAGAAATTGTTTATTCTGCTGAGACAGACTTGGAGTAGAGCTTATGCACAACAATAAAAAGGGACTGATGAAGCAAAAATCAAGTAGGGTTAATGCCACAAAGCTCTGCGATGGTTTGCCTAATTTACATGTTCGTGTAATGAGCTGGCCAATGTGCAGCATAGTGCAGTAAATATATATATATATATAACCCATTCGACATTATTAAGGGGATGTTTGCTATAAATAAGCATCTGTATATATATATATAATATATATATATATATTTATATACATGAATTTCCATATATATATAAATGTTGTCAAAGCTTATTTATAGCAAACATCCCATTAATAATGTCGCATGGGTTAAGCGAGGGCGCGGCTTCGCCTTGGCGTTCGGACTTTTGTATACCTTTATGATTAACGTGCTCGTCAACTGTCTATCAGTATATCAAATAGTTTCAAAGGTGCTAATATTACAGCATTCGCTATTTGTTTTCGTTGGCTAATCTCAAGCAGAATCTGAGTCTGATTATATTTGTCTGTTCATGTATTACTTGCAGTTGGTAAAATGTCGGTCAGGCTGAACGAGACACAAACCATTGTTGACAAGATGGTCAACTTTTTTGTGGAGCACGAGGATCTGCGCACAAAGGTCTGTAAAAGCCCCTAGTCCGACCAGTTGGACGCATAAAGTCTGATCTATATATTTACAGAGCTGGTTCCTCTCGAATGCACCTGGACCGCTGTTTATGATACTCGGCGCTTACCTGTACTTCTGCCTGTATGCCGGACCGCGCTATATGCGCGATCGTAAGCCATTCGAGCTGAAGAACACGCTGCTCATCTACAATGCGGTACAGGTGCTGCTCAGCTGGGTACTCTTTTACGAGGGCTACAAGGGCGGCTGGGGTGGACACTATAACTTCAAATGCCAGCCCGTCACCTACGCCACGGATCCCATCTCCATGAGAGTAAGCTGTTGTTGAGTTAGCTAGCTGTCACCTTCTGACTTCTTGCTGTTTCTATTTAGATGGCGCGCGCTGTTTGGCTGTACTACATTGCCAAGATCACGGAGCTGCTGGACACTGTGTTCTTTGTGCTGCGCAAGAAGGATCGTCAGATTTCTTTCCTGCATCTGTACCATCACACTCTGATGCCTGTGTGTGCCTTCATCGGCGTCAAGTACTTTGCTGGCGGCCATGGCACATTGTTGGGCTTCATCAACTCCTTCATCCACATCATTATGTATGCCTATTATCTGCTGTCGGCAATGGGACCCAAAGTGCAGAAGTACCTGTGGTGGAAGAAGTACATCACTATACTGCAGATTGTAAGTTTGAAAGCCGCAAGTGTTAAACTTGATTTAATTATGCACTTATTTGTTTATCTTGCAGGTGCAATTCCTTATCATCTTCGTGCACACGCTGCAGATTCAATTCCAGCCGAACTGCAACTTCCCCAAGTCGATTGCTGCTCTGCTGACCTTCAATGCCGGCCTCTTCACCTACATGTTCAGCGCCTTCTATGTGCACAACTACAAGAAGGAGGCCAAGCAGGCAGCACAGGCCAAGCTGGCGGCACAGGCCAAGTTGGCAGTTAAACAGGAGTAGAGCAAGGATATAGTTGATGTTTTTGTTTTTTGCCTTAAGATGACGATCACCAAAGGCGAATGCGGCAATCGTTAGTTAGGTTTATAGCCTGTACATGTATACTGTAAAGAGACCCTTTTTAACGGGTATAGCACACACCCTTTTTAGGTATATAGATCAAGTTGGGTGTATGTACATTGGATATTACATTTTCTAGCTCGTAAGGTTCGTTTCGTAGTAGTATTTAAAGTCAAGTATGAGAATGTGGATCTTTGAACAGTCGCCATTGCGCAGTGCATGCACCATGCACTTGACGTATTGGGCAAGTATAATAGAACCAAATATTATAGATTAGTTCATCGATACGTATGTAGTTTTTATTTTATTGATTGGCGTGCAATAAAAATCTAAGACATACAGCAGATGGCAAAACACCAAATTGTCATTATCAGCAATTATATTTGCCATGTTTTTTTATTAATATTTTAAATTGTAAATGTTTATTTGTATAAAATATATCTATATATTTTTAAACAATAAAAAATTGAAATAAAATTGTGTGTTTCCCTTTATGCCTAAAAGTATGCTATTAAAATTGCATGAAGTAAGTCTAATAAAAAATATTTTCGCTAGATGGCGTGCTGGTGTGTGATGCAGGGTCAGCTCATTTCCGAGAATGCATCGAATCTTATAATTACTTGACAGTAATTTGGAATACGTTTTCGCTAGAATTAACACAAAGCAACAGGTACATGTGGGATTGCCAACCACTTAAACTAAAAAAGTTTACATATTGCAAGTTGAGGCCCGACTTTCCCAAGACATATTTGGATAACTCGATTCCAAAAAATTACTTTTACTGTGAAGGGAATTAGCATTAATTAGCGTATAATATTTTCTTGACTACTAATTTTTATAATGTTGTTATCTGATCAGCTGAGCATTAAATATAACTGATTAATTGTAAAGATAAATGAGAGCGAACAACCTAGTTTGCAGTTAATGGGAATCATGAAGAATATGATAAACATGTAATGATATTAGACTTTAATTGATTGATAGGTTAATTATATATTGATCTATGGCTACATTTGCCCTACAGTCTGATGCAATAGCTGAATTGTGTATGTGCTGTATCGTGTTTTCGGTTCCGTTTCATGCTTAATCAATTTAATGGACAGACTAAAAGTATGCCAGCAAAATGATGTATCTGAATGTATGTATGACAGTATGTGGTGTATATATATATTTACAAATGTACATATATGTATCTGTATGTATGTTGAAGTTGCAGGCAAATTATATTTCAAACTAAAACTCGCCTCGCAGTGTTGGCGAAAATGTGGTGAAGTACAGACGCGTCCCTTCCGCTCGTTGGCGCGTTGTCGTTTGCGTTTTGTTTGTTGTAAGTGCGACAATGTTGTTGTTGTTATTATTATTACTATTGTTGCTGTTATTGTTGTTGTTGTCTGGCTGCTGTTGCCAGGTAGTATATAGGTTTTCGTTTGGCTCAACTGTTGGCGTGCGCATTTTATTGTACTGTATTTAGGTTAAATTCGCATTCGCGTGTGTGTTACAAAATGTTGGAAAGTGTGTGAAAAGTAAAATACATTAAAATTATAAAAAAACACACACACATAAATTAAAAACAAAACAAAAAACATTGCGAACGAATTGCTTTGTATTATTTTGGTGACGTTGGAACCTGTTAAATGAAATCAGTGCGAAAAGAAAGCGTTTTTCGAATAACTCCAAAACAATTCGGTTCGTTCGCAGATGAATAAGTGTTGAAAGAGTTGTTTATAAATAGACTTGATTATAAATAAACTCAAACAAATTTAGCGTTCTCATATAAGTTAAAGAAACGCTTACTCATGCGCAAATACACACACACAGCGAGTCTTATGCACACACACACACACACTCTAGAGGGGTTTTTCCTCCGCTTGCTGCTTACCCTACAGATGCAAACGCTGCAGACTTTGCATAGCTGTTTCTGTTTCTGGTTCATCTAGCGTTTCCTGTGATGCTGCCTGGCAACAGCCATGCCAAGCAGAGATACACATATGGACGCTATCAAAATAAAAACAAAAGCCAAAACCAAAAGCAAATGCAAAATCAAAGTTAAGGAGTTCAGAGCTCAGCTGGTTGCCAAGGGGCAACAACAGCAGCACCTGAGTCCAAGTGTGCGAGTGCCGTTAAACGAGATCCGCAGATACATTTGCGCCAGTGTGTGTAAACCACACACACACGCACACAAGTACTGATACGTGCACACCTTGACAAAAGTATCTGTATTGCCATGCGAATAAACACACAAAGAGAAATACACAAAGAAACTCGCAAATGCACACACACACACACACACACAATTCTTTGTCTGTGTGTGTGTATCAGCATTCAAATGTGTGTACGCGTACCTGAGTAGCGCGATTCGCATGCTAGTTGTCAGCTACCTGTTGATGAGACATGAGAGTGAGGCCGCGGCTCATGGTTTCGGCAACGCGAAACTCAGTGCAAATATCGTTTTTAGCCAATGCACACCTCTCGCGTCGCCCTGTCTGCCGTCTATTTGTCCGTCCGCATTGCACAAACGACAAGTGCTAATTTACTTATCACAAATTTGATTTGATTATATTTTATCTAATTACGGCGCACATGCGAGAGTACGACACAGACACACACACACACACGCAAAGTGTGTGTGACTTGCCTCTTAAAGTTCTCACAACATGCGCCTCACTCACAGCACCAAAGCAAAAGGTGCGATAAGCAGAGGCAGCGACAGCGACAGCGGCAGCGAGTGCGGCGCGGCAGCGCCGAGCAAAAGCAACTTGAGGAATGTTCAAGAAAACGCCAATTCGGTTTTATACCTGATCAGTTGAACAGAGAAACGCGTCGTGATCGCAACGTTGATATTCGTGTGGTTTTGTTAAGGCGAACACGCGCGACTTTTCACGAGCCAACCCCGCTCCTACCCCTGATTGCCAATTGGATTTGATAGTCATACGTTTCGATTGGCATGGATTTGTTTTTGTTTTGATATCGGTTCTATATATATAGATTAACTTATATTTATATATTGCCAATACTTGACGCGCCGCTGGCCAACAGCCACTCGAAGCGAATATAACTCAACAACAACAACAATTATTGTAATAATATAGTTGCTCGGTAGTCAAGCTGAGTAACCAAAGAGATATTGACACAGACAACAAACAATAATAATCAAATCTAGCAGAATAAATAAATATTGATCAGACGATCGAGCGCAACTAGTGATAAAGTGCACCACTAACTGCGCCGCGTGCTGTACAGTGGAGCTCCAAAACCAAAGAACTCAAGTTTTTGATAAATATACAAAGTAAACATACACACACACACGCACACACACATACAAACAGGCACAATGCTTAAAACAAAATCCAGCGACGATAAGCTGGATACGCTGCTCTCGAGGTCTGCAGTGCCAATCATCGATCTGGCGCATTGCGGTAAGTCTGACTCCATGGACTTAAAATTTATAATGTGGGCTCGAAATTTGCTGCCGATTGCAGTTGCCAAGCACGCCTCTAGGCACAGCAGCTCCGGCAATAGATTGGCTTCAGCCTCTGACTCATTGCTAGACAATTAGCACTTGCTCATGCTGTTGCTGTTGTTGAGAATCTTTCGAAATTATCTGTGTATCGTATTTGCCATGAGACTACTTACAGCAGTCAATTGTAATTATTGACTTGTGCAACTGACACCTGTCCGCAATCAATGAAATTATTTCTCAAAAGTCAAAAATAAAATATTCATTTAAAAAGAATTGAGTAAGAGTCAATGTTAAAGTTGTGCAATATTTCGTATGGCCAATCTATATATTATTCATAAATTTGCAAATGTTTATCGGCAGGCTTAGTGATAATAGAGTAAGCCCTAAAACCTTTATGGCCACTAACGCAGCTTTCGTCTGTTAATAGCTCACAATTATTTTTATGTTATGGTTTGATAGCTGCTGATTAATGTTGACAGCGAATATCATCATAAATAATTTGTACATGATATCGTACATCCCAAGAGATATAATTTAATGCTTTATTGTGGCCCTAAAAATTCGTTGATTTTAGTACGATTATTTGTAACTACCAAACAGATTAGGCAAATATATATTAAGCCTATAAATATATATTAAACATTTCTCATCTTCATGCATGACAGCCAGATGGCATTTGATATGCTTCCTCGGTCAGCCTCCTGGCAAGCGACTGTTTATTAATTATAACCAAATCTATCAAAGAGTAATTGACAAGAATCAAGCTCACATCTCAAATGTTATTTGACAGATAGTAATAAAATATTGATTTAATGCTTAATTGACGGAAAAAAACGACGCATATTTCAAACTCTAATAAGTCAAATTATATATATAAATATACTTTATACTTTGGTGTCACTTATTATAGGTACATAACCTGTGAATTGATATTGCTGATAAATATATATATGTATATGATACATATGTCCAATTTGTGTATTTAGCACATTATGTGGTGTTATGCCCAGCACATTCTTTGCTAGACAAATTGACAGCTTATGCGTTTGGGAGCTTTATACGCAGCTTGATGCTGTGTCGGAGTCCTGCCCAAGCGTTGCCCGGGCGACCTTGTGCTTAGCACTTGACCTTCGCGCGACGACGTTGTTTCCAAACATTTCAGCCATTGACCCCCAAAAAAAAGCATGTAAATAGTCGGTCGAAACGCGGCTGGAAGTTGTGCGGCGCAGTTGTGTCAACGGAACTTAAATTGCTATCAAGTTGTAGAGGTTTTTGAACTATGTATGTATATTTCAAGCACTGCTCATAGTCGAGCCAATGCCAATGCAATCAAATTAAACTTCACCCGAACAGTGCGGAAACTTAAACAAGATGCATCACAATATTTACATTCAAGTTTTATTACGATTTGATTTGGGAAACTTGATTTGCTTGTGCTTTTATTTTTATTTAGTAAACACTTATTTAGGGTATATGGATTTTGTCGTAAAATATGTAATGCTTAAAGAAAAGTTTTGCATTTATTGCTGAGTTGAGACAGTTCCTATAATCATGACTGGCTATCATTTCTTGGCTATAAGCAATGAAATCTATCAATTTGAAGATGCGAAAAACTTTATGGAAATCTGCATTGACTTAGCAAATGCGATATTTTGATTACTATTTTTAAAATCGTTTTTGCAGCATACATTTATAAATGAAAGCTTACTTACACTTATTCAGAGGCATAGAATTTCACACTTTATATAGTAAGAGTCTACCAAAAGAAATCTTTGTGTGGAAAGCTTTACTTAAGCTTAATTTTTAATTCAAAATTATAGATCGTCTAATATATAATAAATAAAGCTTATTTAATTGATAGCAAGAGCATTCAGCTTCCGACTTGGCGATCTTTCAACTGATTATTTTGTGTCGACATATTTACATAGTATATATCTGAATGCGATTTTCGCTGCACTTGTTTACTGCTCGCGGCTGGGAGGGAGGTCGGACTGTTGATTTCGGTGCAGTGGTTTGACAGCATTGTTTGATTTGTTGTTTAGACTGCTATATTTACACACTACTCAAGACCAGCCGAGTGACAAACTGACAAACAAGCCCGTTGCTCGTTTCAAACGACGTCAGCGGAAAAGTGACGCATTTGGCAAGTGAATCCCCAGCAGCGTCACCAAGCCCGCGCCCACTTTGTCCATTGTTAACTTAATTGAAACATGCGACAACGTCACAACAGCTGAGTAGCAAATAAACACATCGGTTACAGCAACAACAATGATAACAACAAACTGGTCGTTATATTAACGAGGCGCTTTGAATCCGAATAAATCTAGCTTTAACCTGTATATTTGAATAACTAGGCAAGTTTATCTCTCTTCCTCTCTACACATTCCAGCTTAAAGAAAATTGTTTTATTTATTTTTGAAGAAACTGACGCAGCCGAATAACCAAAACGTAAACACCTTTTGGAAGTAGTTTCAGATAAGCTTCAAACTTAATTAGTTGCTAGTTCTAAACAAAGGGACTAGTTGATGTAGATAGATTCTTAGAAAAGATCTAAGTCAGCTGTGCCCACGCGCAGCTATCTAGATAGGCCACACAGTTCGGAAGCACTTGCTGAGTAATTCTAATAAATATATTCTAATGAATAAGTAAATATTTTCATATGACTGCAGACTGTTATCAACGACGATTGATAACATTTAACAAACGCCCCAATGCACCAACAAATATGACAAAGTGCAAAATAGCTCGGTTGCTAGAAATGTCAAAGGAATTTTAGCTTGAATGGAATGTCCTACCACAGACTACGTCTTCAGATAATGTCCTTTTGTCAGTATTGATGAAATTGACAAATGCATTACACACATGTTGCTTGATAGATGGGAAAATATTATACTGATGATGGACAAGGGGTGAAAGGGGTGGAATGCTGTCGTGTCTTATGTTGTACAATCAAATACGTCTAAAAGTCGATTTTATATTTTAAGTTTTCGAAAATAGAATTTCTCTTCTCTGCCGTCTTAGCTTTTCGTCTTTAACTTGAAATAAATTTTATGTATTTTTTATGTATGTATTTTTTTTGCTACCTAGAAAGTTATTTATGATATTTCAGTTCTTTCAAGTGTGCAAGCACTTTAAATATTTATTCGAAACCATCGATATTGGATTAGAGCATCAAAGCAAGACATAAAAAATAATGCTGAAAATCCATTTCAGTTATAGTTGAAACTGTGCACAGATTTGCTTTTTCCATTAATTATTTAAATAAATAATTGATTTAATGAATGCTTTTTGGCATTATGCATTTGAGTCTGGCAATTTTAAGTGTATCCATGCTTTTAAGCATAATAATTCATATATTTTTTACTGGTCAGAGCTATCTGAACTAAACTAAACTTTTTTGCCCATTTAATATTTTATAAGTATATTCAAAGTTGTCTGCATGTGGTTTTCCCCCTCAGCTGAATCGATGCTATGTGTGTGCTGACATGTGTGCGTATACATATAAATTGCTCTATATATATTTTGAATTAAATGCTTGTATTGAAAATAGACACAAGTCATATACATTCTTAGCTACGGGATTGACCAAGCGCGAGATACCCATTAAACTGGAAATTATGATAGAGGAGAATTACACAGTTATATAAATGCAAATATGAACTATTATATGCAAAGTCTGACTCACAAGGTATATTCATATGTATGTATATACATATATACCCCTTGTTTTGCTTGGGCAATCTGAAATGGGTATCTGTGAAAAACAGCAGGCAACGCGTCAATAGAAATTCCGCACATAACATACACAATAATTTGAGTATAGAACACAAAGCCAAACGCACAGACGTTTGTTTATAGCTCGACGTGAATTCAAAGACCATAAATATCGAAAATGTATATGGCATTTAGCAATTTGTAAACACAAACAATTTGGCAACCAATCGAACTGTAATGCCAATCAAATATTTAGAAATAGAAATTCAAAGCCATCAAAACCAAAAATGTTGCCCCATGGGGAAAACAGCGTTTGATGCGATGATCTTCAACTGATTGCGACAAGGCAGCCTGCTGACTCAATTAATTAGCCTCAATATAGATAAATTAGCAACAAGTTAGCAACTAGCATGTGAGCTGTACAAAATTGCAAAAAAAAACGAAACACTAAATTGAAAAGTGCCTACAATACAGTTGGCGCCCAATTGAAGTGCATGCAAACAGCAAATATCGGCCACAATGACTGTGTCTCTGCTCCCTTCTACTCAAATGACTCTACAGGCCTGTATAGACATATATGCACACATACTACACATACACACACATACAAACACATGTGCATGTACATCTAATCAAATGAAATCGAAAGGCAGCGTTACGCTTCAATTGATTCCATTCAGCACGCTGCCTGACCTCTCGCATAGCTATCTCATCATCGCCATATACATGCATAATGTGGGCCCCACTGAAAAAAATTCCATAGAATTGTATAGAACTCAATGTATGTGCCGCCTGGTGACAGAAATCTGTTTTCTGCCCAAGTGAAGCACGACACGCACTGATAACTCTGCCATACAACGTAATTACTATTAACCGTGAATTCTCCTGCTTATCAGCTGAAAAACAGTGCGTCATGGTGTTGATTGGGGTGCTGTGGGGCTTTACGTTCGGGCTTAGGCCAGCTGGGTAGTTGAGTGGGCGGCGCGGAGTGCGACCAACTAAAATTGACAATTATTTATTTATAGATTGCTCATACGCCGTGTGTGTCAACGTGAACGTGTGGAAATGTATTCTCTATTACTAATATTCATTCATGGCTTGCGCTGAATGAACAATTAGCATATTCCTTTATTCATATATATATATATATATATATATATATATATATATATATATATATATATATATATATATATATATATATATATATATATATATATATATATAACTAGCTAAATACATATTTTTAAACATTTGTACATACAAATTTTCAAATTAGAAATGTCTTCCCAAGTGAAAAAAGTCATATCTGAATGCTGTTGTCGCTTTTGTTGTATAATGAGATAAGATTTAGTATTAACTTTGGACTTTAAGCTGCTTCACACTGTTTGCTTGAGTGCTACAAAGCTTTCGAATATAGTTTTTTGTTATAAAGTATCCTCTCCACTTGATTTCCGCTTGTGGTTTTGTTCACTTTGTGCTCAGAGACTTCCAGAACTATATAAAGATAGTCACATCTGCATCTATATACTTCTATACAAGATTGTCTCTCCAAGGTGTGGAGAGTACATGACGTGCATCATTCATTAAGGTCGCTGTTAATAAATCTCATTATGACTCTAGTTTTTTTTTATCAAGCTTCACACTTACAGGTGACTATACCTGAAATGTTCTATTTTAATCGAGCATTTTTAGTTTTATTTAATTCCCACTTCGTAGGGTATTAATTCTTCAACGTACCGAATAGCACTGCTCTTTCTTGTTATGAAGGCAGTTTTTTTCTTTCTATATAATTTTCCGCCAGGAAAAACCAAGTCGCTGTCGCCGTCGCTGTTGCTGCAGTGGCATTGAAATTGATTGCATTTACCTTTATTACATTTGCTTGTATTGCATTTATTGAGTCCGATGCATTGCCTGAACTATTCTATTATTATTACGGCTTCAATCGCATTTATATTACTGATTCCATTACGGCAACCGGCAGGCTTTCAAGCGTTCTGTTTATCGCGTAGTAAGACTTCATTACAAATGCGAATTAGCAAATATTGTACTGGCACGTGGATTGTTCGTTATGCGGCGTGTGGCATTTTGTTTGGCTATTTATTGAGGCTCGTATAGTCCTAATACGTTTGAGTTTTTTGTTTCTCAATTGGGGGCCATAAAATCGTTGGCGATGTGCGAGCATTTTATTTATGGTTATTGTCAGCAGCTGGTCGTGACTTTAGCTGTTATTGTTATTTTTTTAATTCTGAGAAATTATTAACGGTAATTATCTAAAAATAACACCAAAGAGTTAGTTCAGCTTAGTTCAGAGAAATGCAATCGTGCCCCAATCATCCACGCATTGAGTTGAAATTTTGATTCTAATGAATTTTCTGTATTTACAGGTATCGAGGAGGTGCCCGTCAAATCAGTGGTGAATCGTGTGGGTCATCAGTTGCAGAAGGCCTTATCCGAAAAGGGCATTGCGCTTTTGGTCAACCATGGCATATCTGATGAAAAGGTGGCTACAATTCTCTGTTGCTCCAGTCTTGCTTAATCTGACTCTGTTTTGCTTTAGTTGAAAACGGCTTGGGATCATTTGGACGACTTTGTCGATTTGGCAGCGGATGTCAAGCAGCTTTACCTGCGCAACGATGGCGACAATCACGGCTATGTGAGTCCAGGCATTGAGCGCTTTGATGGCAAGACACCGGAGCTGCGACATGCATTCAACATTTGCACGCTGAATGCCCAGAATCTGCCGGAGGAGCCTCTGCCCGGATTTGCGGATCACATAAGCACACTGGCCAATGACTTTAAGGCGCTGGCCAGCTTTATGCTGCAGGCGCTGGCCGTCTCGTTGGACATTCCGCCCACATTCTTCCTCGAAAAGCATTCACACATGATGTCCGGCGATCACGACAACATGACCACTCTGCGCATGCTCTACTATCCGCCTATAGTGGACGATGAGCCCGGACATGGTCAGAACGATGTCATCAAGGGCCGTTGCCAATACAGCTACCAGCGTTGCTTATCAGATCAGCCAGATTTCCGCCCTGAGCACAATCCCCTTGATGACGAGCCGGATAACGTTCAGAGCAATGGCAAGGATGGCGAACTCTTCGAGCACAAGCTGGCCAACGGCGAGGTTATTCGCTGCGGTGCACATGTCGACTACGGCACATTCACGCTGCTAGCCCAGGACTCTGAGGGCGGCCTGGAAGTGAAACTGCCGGGCAGCGAAAAATGGACTCGCGTGGGTCACTTGCCGGGTGCCATATTAGTCAACTGCGGCGAGATCTTGTCTATCTGGACAAGGGAACGATATCCTGCACTGGTAAGACAACAACTTTAAACAAGCGCCAGCTGAGGCAGATTAATTAAATGCTGTCTTTATTGCAGCAACACCGCGTGGTCATACCCGAACAGGAGCACATAAGGGCTCGTGGTCGACACTCGATTGCATTCTTCTGCCATCCAGACAATATTACAATGATATCTCCTAACGATCTGCCTCAAACCGACGCCGAACAGAACTCAACGTGTCTCAAGCAGCGAAAGAAGTCCTTCAAAGCGGCGAAAGAGCGGTAAGCTTTGATCTCACAATTTATGGTTGTTTGCCAAATTTACTAACTTTGATTTCTTTTATGGACTCTCTTTGTTTGGATTCAATTGTTGTTATCACATTCGGACTGGCCGTAAATCTATCAACATTTACAGTGTATACAACGCGTATCAGCTAATACAGAAAAAGTTTAAGGAAACGTACACCACCAACAGCAATCCCTCGCAATGACGTTCTGCCACGTAGGCGTCCGTTGCCAAGATCCTCATCTCTACTCCTGCCACTCTGTCATGCGTTCATAAGTGGGGAGATTTAGCGTCGTATATGAAAGTCGAGAACACGCTTGATGTTTTGAACTTTTTATTTTATTATTATATAATATACGATTGTAATTGCTTCATTTCTTTAGTTTGTATCATATATATTTGATATACATACATAAATAATATTTATATACAAATACAATACATACATACAATGTTTTGCATAATCTGAGTATCAACATCAATTATACACTGAGAAAAACGCACATTTTAACATTTATCTTACAGCTAGGCGCTAAATATTGATTTCCATTCCTTGTCCATGTTTATATAAAACTCGACCATATCGCAATTTCAAAATTCCAAAACTCCAAAAATTGACCGTTGCTACACAACTGAGACCCACTGTTTCTGCTGTAAACATTTAAAATTGTATATGTATTTTATTTTGAGCTGATGTGGTAAGTTTCAGTGTTTGTTTTCACATAATTACCAAATGTGTTTACAGATTCAATTATTTCAACACTTTTCAATATTTCTTTTTGTTTTTGTTTTTATAAATTCTTCATATTCATATATAAACATATTCATTTGTTGCTCTTCAATTCTGCACAAAACAAACACATTTAACAATTAAATCTTTTTTTTGTTGGTTTTTGTATTTGGTAATTATATTACGTTTTTGTTATTATTAATCTATGTTGCACGTAAGCTATTGGACATTTACGAGAGTATTTGGCTTTCATTTTTTTCTAGATTTTTTTTTTATTTTTATTTTTGTATGCTTCTATAGCTGTTGACACTAAGAGTATTCAGGGGCAATAGGATAGGAAAATTCAATTTCTAATGTATGATTAACCAAATCTTAGGCCATAGCCAAACTTGTAGCTTTAACAAGCCCTTTCATGGTTCTGAGAAGCCAGCAAATCCCTAGCACGTGATCTTTCAAAATTTTAATATAGCTAACACTAATAATGGTAATGTTAACAGTAATGACAATGATAACAACATACATAGACGAACCCTAACGACTCATTCAAGGCGTAAGTAAAAATAAATATATATATATATAATTTAGAGATTAATAATAATGTCTTTGAAAAAAGTTAAAAAAAAGTAAAAAAATTTAATAATTTTTAGACAGTTTATACTGTCGCAAACAAAAGTTTATACCCAGCTAAAGTGCTTATCAATAGACGGACGGTACGTACACTTTTCAGCATTACTGTGATCGATTTACTGTGTGTGTTAGTTGTCTTAATTATTTAGCCTCATATTTGCACAAAATATTTTATTTATAACTGAAAGTCACATGCGCGACTGTCACTTAACATGCCAACTAACAATAAGAATAATATTGTTGTGGCAGTTGTTGTTGTTACTATTGTTGTTGTAGCTGCTATTGCTGCTATTAGCCAGCTGATTTGATCAATAGGGCAAGTATGACGCGCATGTTTTGCTGTCTTTTCCATATGCTATTCCACGCATTAGGCCCAGTCATAATTTATGCAATTGCATTCACACTTGTAAGTGCTTACAGTATGAGAGTTTATTTTGAGCTGTGTGTCAGTAAATGTGTTACTTTATTGTAATCCATTTATAGAATATAGTGGAAAACAGTTATAGGGGCAATAGTGTTTTGTAGTTTGAAATAAGGAAACAAATATTTGTACTTAAGCAAATGATTAATATACTGCTTTGAGTACGCTTAGGCAAATTAATAAAAATAATAAGTTAGGTTTATTATAGACGTTGACAACTTAAGCTGGGCATTAATATGGGCATTTTATTGGAGATCATGAGTAATTACCACTAAAATTCACACACTCTCTAGAACTGACTGAGGCATAAATTTCCCAGATTTGAATCAGCACGTGAATCGACTTTTAAATTTTAAAAAGTAACGAAAATCGTTTCCAAAGCAAATATTTTGTTACCTTGTATAGAAATGTGATCCCCCATAACTTGTAATATTTCATGACATAAGAGAGTTAATTATTTGTTTTTCAATTATGTAAAGTCAATAATAATAATTGAATGCATTTCAACCATTCCATATTAGCCAAGCACACTTGCTAACATTTTGTAAACTATTTAAATATTTATATATATTATACTATGTAACGCCACGTTTCTGCACTGAGTGGAAGTGAAGGGAAAATCTATTGTTGTTTAAGCCACATCTGTGGTTAATATATGAACGATAATTGCAGCTGATAGGCTAATTAAACAAGAGTACTCAAATATGGTTGCACTTTGGAAATTAGAAAATGTTAAATTACAGTGGAATATATATATATTATATATTTATAAATGTAAATATATAAATCTAAAGAAACATTTAAATCAATGTGTACTTTTTGCACTTTTAATTAAATTGACACCATTCAATTAGTCAGAGTTTGCATTTTTTGTATACTTTTATTTAGTTGGCGTTCGATTTAATTTTCCAGCGCCACAGCACGTTGGGTGCTGTTTAATCAAAGTGTCAAAGTTAAATAACACAAATATTGACAAAAATATTGAAACGGGCACGCGGGCACGCGGGCACACAGAGAGGAGCACAGACAGCGGGGGAAGGCTCATTTGTCTATTGCGTGAAGCTTTTAATCTGGCGCTTGAGATAATGACAATGATTTGCCATAGATATACACTTATATATACGTTAAATATACCCATGAATATATGTATATGAATGTATACCTATATACATTAAATATATATAATATGCCAACAACAATTTGATATTTAAGGCAAACAAAGCGAACTTTTGATAAGCTTAGCCGTGTAAATAATTGCTTTGTTTGGTTTGAACGTAAGCGACAGCCAGTTGAAAGCGAAAGTTAAACGTGAAAACGCAACAAAAGAAATGAAGTTTACAACCTTTAAAAATTTCGGTTGGTAATCTCAAATATATAGATAAGATTGTCTGGGCATTGCAAATAATTTTTTGATATGGATGTGAACAGCACATAAAAAACACATTAATAATACAAAAAATTAAAAAGTTCTACTAAAAGAAAAATAAAGAATAAACTTAAAACTCAAAAAAAATATTAAGAAAATATTAAAAAACTAATATCTTAATTATAATATAATTATAATAATATAATTATAATAAATTATTTAATTTTAAATATATTATATTATAAATTGTATATACCTATAAAAATATTTTATTATAAATATTTAAACAAATAATTCAAAATATATATATAAAAAACAAAATAAAAAATTAAAAAAAAAAGAAATTTCATTTTAAATATTTAAAATTTCATAGATTATAGACTTTTAGATATATAGGTAGAAAAGATTGCAGTAGAAAAAATTACAATTAAGTTAATATTTGCAAGTTGCATAAGAAATTAGTTAAACAGAATGTCAATAGCCTTCAGTAGTATAGACATTTGTTGTCATCTGGTACTTATATACTTATCAGCTAAAGGTTTATTAATGTAGTATTTGAGCGCTTCTATACTACAACAATTAACTAATGCGCTCAAAAATGCGACGTGCTCAAATATATATATTGTTTAACAGCTTTGTTTTGATGAGACTTTAAGTCACACTTTATATATTTCTTTTGTCAGAGACTACAAGTACAGTGGCTAATAGACCCAGTGGATATGTTACTCATACAAATATGGTGTATATATATAGTACTTATATATATGATTTATATGTATATATATATATAGTACATGTACTATATTGATTTCAATATGTTTAAGCTTCACTTGGGAAAAGTTACTTAGTATCATGTACTATTAGAAGACGTTCTTCACTTATATAATTCATTCCACACGTATGTATCAATATTTATGGGACATCAAATAGCAATACGTATATCAAACATTCAATATATTTTGTATTTGTATATATATATATATATATATATATATATTAAATAGGTAGGTAAACTATATATAAACACTGCACTAAATGCCAAATAAATGTTGATCTTGAAATCGTTGCAGGCAATTTTAGGAATTTTCAATTCTTGTCTTTCAATTGTGTTGCCCAACAATCTCGCTTTAAATTCAACTTGTAAATATTTCAATTTGTTTTCTTTATTGTACGTGTTCATTTTTTATATTTTGTTTACTTTCTGCACATCAACTACGGATAATCTTCCATTTCTGTTTTGTTTTTTGTTTTTTTTTGAAGGCTCAATTTTTACTGTGGGATTGTCGTGTTCGATTCGAACCCATTTTTACTGTAGCTTAGCGTGGTCATAGTTTTTGGGCATATATAGATTTATATTAGTAATACATATATGGAATACATATTTGCCTTTACGCAGCTAGCATAGATTGTGTTGCACGAGTGCACACATACACAGCTACACATAAGCAGAAGAAGAGCTGAAAGAGCGAAAAGGGTTCAAAGGATTCAATTAGTGTAGAGCGGATGCAGCTGCAGCTGCTCCTGGCCGGTCATTGTGGGCGTGCCAGCCGCATACTGTCGAGCACGCATCACATTCATCTGTATCTCCGATGAGGCCGTTGAGTTCATACAGTTCGGCAGCTCAGCAGAACCGTTCCTGGCTCCGTTCGCTCTCCTCTGGCCGCCACCAACCCCATTCCCGCCTCCAGCTGCCCGAAGACTGGTGCGACAATTGATGAGCGCATTGGGGCAACAGCTCTGCAGAAATAAGTAGAAAAAGAAAAAGAAAGCAGACACATATATATAAACAAGAGCACGGCAAATGAGTCTAAATAGGCGTAGAGAGAATGCTGACTACGTACTCAAAGGTTAGGCATATTTAAACGACGTCGGGGACAGATGCAGCGAGCGAGATAAATAGATAAAGACAGAGAGACAAAGTGGCACATACTTGGAAGTTGGGGCTGAGGCTGTGGGCGTGTTTTGTTCTGGGAATGTTCGGCATAGCACATGTATTTGCCGAGTTTATTTGTGGAAAACAAATGACAAAAAAATAAAAATGCAAAAATAAAAAAATAAAAAATAAAAAAGGAAAATTCCAAGTAAAATACAAAATAAAATGCCGCATTCATTTCAAAAGAGGGACTCACAGCGTGAATGTGTCTGTAAATGTGTGCGCTGTTAAAGAGTAGTCTGTGACACAAAAAAAAATTGTGAAAAGAAGAAACAAAACCCACAATTTTGCCCAAAACAAACTCGGAGCATCAAAATATGCGCATTTGTAAGTGTTTGTTGTTGTTTTGTTTGGCGACCGTTTGGTAACAGGTGCTGTGTGGGTTAAAGTGAGCAGTATATAAATATTAGTGTGTGTGTGTGTGTGTGTGAAAGAGTATTATATGTACATATTATGTATAATATACTTATATCAGCCAAAAGCTTTTCAATTTGAATATTACATTTTTGCTTCTATTCATTTATTTTGTGGCATTCTTAGCATTTGTTGAGCGTTAGGCAACGTTTTAGAAGGGCAAAAGCCAGCTGTGCGTGGAAAAGATGAATAGATGAGATTAAAGATAGAGAGATAGAAGACCAATTTACAATATATGTATGTACAGGACAGACCGAGACCGAGAAACTGATAGAGATACATATGGAATATTGCTTTAAGATAGATAGACAGTTGAAAGAAGAGGGGCATACATAGATAGCTCAAGCAGGCAGTTCGTGCATAGAAACCATCAGGCAATATATAATTTCGCAGCAATGAAAATTGTGACATGGACGCAAGCAATAGCTGTTGCAGTTTGCAGTTGCAGTTGAAGTTCACATATTGTAGTTCACTGTTGACTCAGTCAGCTAATATATATGCTACGTTTTAGTTTTTGTTCAAGCTACGGGCTAAGGGCACTAGTTGCCAATGCAGCTCGAAGTCAACTCATATAGCTACCAAGATATGCGCAGGCTGGCTTAAGTCTCTCTGAATGCTGGCGCTGTTACAGTTGCAGTTGCAGTTGCAGTTGCAGCTGTGCTTATAGTTGTTGGTGTTGCTGTTGTCGTGGCCGTTGCCGTTACCGTTGCGCTTGTGCTTCCCGTTGCTGCCGCAGCTGTTTTGCACTAAGTCTAGGCGAGGGGTGAGAGGCGAACGGCGTTTGGGTATTTTGTTCGAGGATGGGTTTAAAAGCAATATGTATTGATAAAAGGTCTTACTTTGCTATATGCAACTAACAGAAAATTCCCGTCCAATCGCCCCCACAATGTGCTTACCTTGAGCGTCTTTTTGAAAGCTGCCCTGAAATCGCGATTGAAATATGCATAAATTATTGGATTCAGCGCCGAGTTGAAGTAACCAATCCAGAACAATATGCCAACCACAATTCGTGGTGTTTTGCAGCTGTCACAGAGAGTGAATGTGATATACCTAAAATAAGAATGAACATATATAAGAATGTATATAAGACTTGGTGCTCACTGGCTAACTGACCTGCTGACTGACTGAATGATTCAAATAGATTTCGAGAAACAAAACAACTTACAATTAAAGGCTTACGTGAGTAGAGAGGTGGGCAGACAGCCTCCGCTTTAAAGGCCAAAACGCGTACCTTTGTTATAATATTTGCTTGTCAAATTCTTGGCACAGTTTGAATGCCGTTTGCATTGTCTTTCAATTTGATTATTAGTTTTACCCGGGCAACGCCTTGAAACTTATTCTAATTGTGTATATTATTCTATATAAAACAAATTCAATTTGTATTATGCTAACTTCGCTTGGATTGCAAGGGCAGCAGCTTGAACAACTTACACAGAAAGACACTCAAAGGCTTTTAATATTCATAGTTGATTCTTAGTTGCTTTCTTTTAAGTTATTAAGTGACCTCGCACCGCCAGTGGCCAGTTAAATCATAATTGTGAACTCATAATACCAAAGCAAAAAACTTTTCTTAGCAACTTTTGCTTTCAACTTTTCTTGTCTTGACTAAAAAGTAAGAGAAAAAGTTGCATAAGTTTAGGCGAAACAGAAAAAATAAAACAGTTTTAGAGTCGTGTAGCCCAAGAAAGGTACATTTAAATTAAAAAGTAAGAGGTGTAATTGCTGATTAGAAAGAGCTTGTGCAGTCTGCTCATTAAGTTCGATATTTCCTTTTTTATGTTTGTATATGGCAAATCTTCGCAAGCTGCGACATCCTGTACGCACCATAAGAAGAAGGGCAGCCAGCAGAGCAGAAAGGCGCTCATTATGATGCCCAATGTGCGGGCAGCCTTCCGCTCGCGCCTCATTGTCGTTATGGTTGACTGCTCCACCTGTATGCTTGGCCGTGGCTTGGGTATTTGGCTAATCTGCAGGTGCTTCTCCAGCAGAAGGGCGGCTACTTTAGATCTGCGTTCAGCATGTAATTAGCGTTAATTGCGACAAACAAATTAATTGGTTTACCTGTACACCAAGCGCTCCTGACGGTCCGCCTCCTGGTAAATGCGATAGTACATGGACAGCATGACAATTCCTGGTATCCAAAAGCTCATCGATGAGCTCACAATTGCGTAGGCCTTGTTCACTTTGAACTCGCATATCTGCAATTCAATTAAATTACAATGCTCCCATCATTATTGAGTGCGGCAATTGAAATTCAAACGATGTAATTTCATCAAATAAATCACATTAAATACATGGTTGAGCTCATAAAATAAAACAGCGCCAACAAAGGGATGAGCCTTTTATAGCCAGCAGCCATCAGAATTAGAATGTACGCGATAATATGCAAAGTGCAGTCAATTAACTGCAAACGCAACTGCAATTGCAACTGGAACTGCAACTGCAGCTGAAGGGGCACAGATAATGGAAAAATTTGAGGCAACGTTGCGTATGCATAATGCGATTATTGCACTGAAGTGGAAGCAATAAAAAGCAAACCAATTACAGCATACATTAAAGCAATGATATTCCCATGAAGCCACACCCCAGGCACTTAACGTTGTCTCAAGGCCATCTAATCAGATTTATGTGAGAGTTGACGCGGCGCTGTCGCTGCCAGTTATGAACAACAACAACATCAGCAACCACAACAACAACATCAACAAGCACAATGACAACCACATTAAGTTAAACTAATTAAAGCTCAACTTGAATGCCTAATGTATGCAAAGGGCTTTCAGTGAGTCGACGCTTTGTGTGAAGTCGAAAATTATGCACAGGCGGCACAGGCACTGGCACCGGCACCGGCATCAGCACCAGCACCAGCACAGGCAACGCTACCAGCACAAGCCCTAGCCCAAGACACCAGGACCAGGCACCACAAACGCAAATATAATTACATTTATTTATACATCAGCATTTGTATTACGCAATAACAACCCACAGCAACAACAAGCACTACCACTACTTGGCGGTGCGACGGCAGCTGGCAACAGTTGTTAGGCAGCAGCAGCAGAGTCAGCTATTGAGGCACTTTCGTTCATTCCGCTTCTTGAGAAGTTAACAAATATGTTGGCTGGTCCAGGACGTGCTCATGTCGCAAAATGGCCAATAAAGCAGACCCAGTAATAAATATGCCAACTGTCGGCTGAGCACCTAAAAAGGCGTAAAAACACCGCAGATGCCTTTGGTCCCCACATAAATCAATTTTCCTTGCAACGACTCCTAGTCTAAGCCAACAGAGCTGGACGCGTGTCGTGTTCCCCGTCGTATAAACAACACCTGAGCTGAATATGAAACATTTGTCAAGCAAACTAAGTTTCGCGTGAGTGAACAACAGGTTCAGCTTAAGCTCATAAATAACTAAATACACCTGTAGACAGGGCTTAGCAGTGCTATCGAATTAAAAGTGTAGTTAAATTCTATATAAATGATAGATCTAGAATTTATCTACTCTTATTGGGGCTACTATACCTTATGTATACTAGAGTCTATATTTCCATGACTCATATATAGACTGTTTTATATACAAGTGGATAGACAAGCCTAAGCATGTACATGTCAATATCGGTTATCTGACTAACTGACGGATTGACTAATTAGTGCTAAGTCGATTCGCCTCGTGCTTAGAGACTTGGGCACGCGCTCAGCTCTAGTCTGAAATCCAGGCTAAAGTCAATGTGCCAACAACACTTGCAGCAGTTGGTAGAATTTATGGCACACCTTGTGGCCAATGTGTGGCAGAAGCAAGCGAAATGCATGTCTAGCATCTACCTCCTAGCAGGCACACACACACTCCCTCTCACATGGACACACCTACCGCAGGATTAAGACTTAAGCTCAGATGCGCTTGAAAATTAACGAATTATACTGCCAGCTTACATGCGGATTGGATTTGAGATATTTCCAGTTCTCATTTGTGGTATACCAGCCCGAGCAGATGGGTAGGAACGAGAGCAGCGCCGGTGATAGCCAAACCATTAGCAGCATAATAAAGACACGACGATGCGTCATTATGAGTGGATAGTCCAGTGGCTGGACTATAGCATAGTACCTGCAATGAAACAATCCCTTGGAGAACGTTTGCAATATAATTTTGAGTAATTAATATGCCTTACCTGTCTACCGAAATACAACATAGATGCATTATGCTAGCTGTGGAGAAGTAGACATCGAAACTGTTCCATATATCGCACATTACCGACCCGAACATCCATCTGCCAGATATCTCGACGGAAGCGTTGAAAGTCATTGCACAAAGTGCAACCAGCATGTCGGCCACTGCCAGGGAAACCACAAAATAGTTGGTAATGATGCTGTAAATGAAAGATGAACATGAGTAACTTCGCCAGAAGAGGCCAGAGGGAAATGTAGACAAATTTTCAAAAGTTTCACAAATCGTCAAGTTTTCCGCATTGCACATTTTTGTCATTATGCTCATAGTCTGTCGCATAGTTTTCCTGACAGCTTATCGACCTAATAACTTGTCTGTATCTATGCGACAGAAATTTGTGCTCGCATTACACATACGCAGCGTGTGACTTGAGCTTGTTGTGCAGAATGACATGTGGATGCCAGTTTGCCAGCTTAATGAATTAATTGATAATATGCTCTATTTCCACAGTAATGCCACAATCTATCACAACAACAAGCACCGCACTATGCTCAACTCAATTATGAACACACGGCGTATGCGCAACTCTAAAACTCATTGCCGCTTTAATGCCCAAAACTTTAAGTAAGAGGCAATTACATTTTCATATCTTGCAATTTACACCAGGCCAATGAACCAGCCTCACGTCCAAACACCCACAAACTTAATTACAATCCACAGGAACCAGCCGCAGCGATGGCACAATTCGGAAGGCAGACATCAAGGAGGTGTGGGGAAGGGGCGGCGGCAGCCCCATGGCAAATAACGGACAGTTGTTGGCGAGCGTTGACTACCACAGAAATGTACAAGGCATAAGGCAAAATACCAGCGTCCACAACAGACTATAAGTAGCAAAAAAGCGTCGCTTTAAATCCGATTAAATGCCTCAGATGAGGGCAGAAGAAGAGTTGACAGGGGCCATGTCGATTCCGATAGATGACAAGTTTAATTAGATTTATGACTTGTCAGAACTTCGGTGCTTTAATTTGACTCTTTAAGCACACTTTTCATGCCCATTAGTGAAAATATATTGATTGGAATCTTGTTATGGCTGTCAATGCCAACTAGTTAAAGTCAGTTCATGTTTTCCTTTGGCAATTCATATCGAATTGCGTATTAAGACCCTTTCAATGACAGCTTGTAAAATTCACTGTGAACTCTTAATGGCCAAAGGCCAATGCAACTTAGTAATTTCAGTTAATAACAAAACAATTCATTATCTTATAAAACAAATATTTTATATAAAATTATTAAAATTACTTTTGACAAGGGCTACAAATAATGGAAATTTCAAATTTTCATTTAGTGGCTCGATTCACAAAGAATTACGATAGCAGACTGATTAGCCTATTGACATCTATATCAATGGTTATTTTGTGGATGATCGCAGTTTATTACTTAAGAAGATCAACTGACTTTTGCTTACTCCCATTTTACTTTTGTTTTAACATAGAGCAAATTTAAGTCTCGACAAATTAACTTGGCCTAAATTATGTTTGGGTTGGCGATTCGTTTCGGTTGATTAGTATGAAGTCTACTTGCAGCCATGATAATTTGTGAATATATAAAAAGTATTTTCTGCTCTTTTATACTTGTTTCGGCATAAATTCTGTAACTCAGCTATGATGAAGCACGATTAAAGTTGAAATATATTTGGGACCGCTTTATCTTGGCGTTGCATATAACTTATTTAGGTTTATTTAGGCAAGCTGAACTTTTAGTTGGTTCCACCTTAATGGGCCGTACGAAAGTTGGTTCAATTAGTGGACCGGATATTAAGTCAACCAGGCGCTCACGCACAATCGTTCCAGCTGCGAAAAGAGTCCGACACGTTGAAGCTCGGTTAAATGAGGCTCAAATTATCGCATGCATATTTGGTTAATGCGAAGCTAGAGTTGGACACACACCTGTGATTTGCACGCAGCTACAGAAATAGACACACAAATACACACACACAGGTAAAGTAGGAATGCATGTCAAGCATAATTAGGCCTAATTTGGCATAATGATTTAAACTGAGCAGCGACGCAAAACAGTTGAAATGGGTCACAAGGAGCAACAAGGAAGATAAACATTTTTATGCACCTAGTAATAGTCATCAGGAGCTTCGCTCTCTTCATTCAGTCCTTTCACTTCTGGCCGGGCATCAAAATTACACAGCTTCACAGGCTACGCAAGTTAAATGAGCCCCTTAAATGTCAGGTGCCTGTCTGTGTGGGCTGTCGCCAAGGTGAGCATTTTCTTGGGCTGCTTTAAGAGTTTTATGCCTTGACATTGAACGCCTTGAGGCTTCGTACGTGGGCATGACCATGCGGCGTGTGCGTTTTATGTAGCTTAAATGCCAGCCAAATACAGCATATGAATTTGCGCCTGAAACACGTACAAAATTATGAAGAACTGTCGTAACACACCCACCCACACAGAATCATACCAATTCAACAAACACCCACACAGGCCACAGGGTGACATCTATAACTGTACGAGAGAGTGTTGAGTAAGTATTGTTGTTTATATACCCTGATAATAATAAAATTTGCTGAAGAGAGGGTATGATGTCTATGTGTAGAAAGCTTAGGAGGAAGAAAGCGAAAGGAAGCATCGCCGAACCATTCCGTAATTTGCATCTGTTCTACAAAGGCTATAGATACAATAGGATTTTATTTTTTTTACATTTGTGTTATATTTAAATATTGTACAAAAAATTATGTATAGCTACTTAAGATTGAATGTACAAAATGATGAATGCATATACATTACGGAAGCAGGCTGGGCTTAGTGAGCCTCGTAGTCGTGTATCCTCAACGCGGTTGTTATTGGTGCTGGGACAAAATTTATATGGACCGTCGTAAATGAAATGCCGAACCCGGCAGCGTCTGTCTGTGCGCCCTTTTAAGAAGGCCACAATATTTAAATGCGTGCTTCTTATTAACATATTCGATGTAATTACGCACGTTTTTGACATTTGACAGTATTTGACAGAAGTATGCCATAGGGTAGGAGCCTAAGTTGTAAAGCAGACACCACCCCCGCCCATGGTAATGGGTGCGAGTTTTAGCAGAGAACTTGACAAATTTCCTGACACGCAACTTGCCCCAAATATGATAAATGATGACAAACTAATGGACGTTAAGGCGCGCAGGATTAACGCGCCGGCGGTCAAAGGCTGTGCGAAAAAGCTACATAGACACTAAAGCCTGGCCATGTCCTTGATAGTCGCGCTGACAATGATGACAATGGCGCTTTGTGGCGAGCAATTCAATAACAAACGTGTAAGAGCGTTACAGACGGGTGCAACTGACAGCACAATACTCGTTCACGTCTCTATTCTAGCTCCACAACTAAGCAGAACCTATAAGCGGTAAAAACCTGATTCATTGATCTATGTAGCTTTGACATTTGTATCCGAATGACCAGGCGAAGAGACGAATAAACTTCGAAACTAATATGCTCGTCTTCCTTAATGTCAACTAGTATGAAAAGCGCGCCTCGAGCTAGTCGGACCATTGCAAAAGGAAATAAATGAAACACGCTTCAGCATTGTTTCCATTGTCGCTGCTATTGTGCCAGCTCGTATTCATTCTTAACAGCGAACGTTGGGTATTATAGAACATAATTGACAGTAAAACGGACAACAGCCTAGTCGACATATACATCTAAGTTTATGCTTTATCGATTTATTGTTTATTATTATTATTGCTTAATCAATTTATATAATCGACAAAACTTGTAGCCTCGTATAACTACAAATTTGTAAGCGGATAAGAATATGTGTCTCAATTATTGTAAATTCTACGATAAGTTAATTGAATGATAAGTGTTAACAGAGCAGGCAATAAAGATTTATAGAGACAGTTAGCAGTTGTAGATTTCTAATATTTTTAATTGGATTAAATGTTTTCTAATAGAAATATGCATTTGAAGCTCTTGGCTTTTCATGTAATCCATATATTCAAGCTCTAAACATCCCATGACGATCGGAATGATCGTGTATGTGCATGTATTAGTGCTTGAGTATTTGTGGAACTATATTTCTTTTAAATAAAATGTTCCAAGCATGAGATAGGTTGGACGGGTTCAAGGTATCTATAAGTCGAGCAACCCAATTACAGTTGTAACCCACATCCGGCAGTCTTTTATATCTCTCTTTGATCTTCAAATTCATCATTTTAAGTTAGTCAATGGGATACTAGTATTGCATCTAACGAAGTACCTAATTCCCAGGGTAATTTACTAAAGTAAATATGATGAAAGAGATTGCTAGCTGCAGTATATGCGTAAGCTAACCACTAGCGACTACAGCAATAAAGCTTGTTGTAGCTATGGCACCTGGCAATATGATCACAACTCACCGCAGTTTTCTGTGCCGCATAACGGACACAATCACCAGCATGTTGCCTAGTATGGCGGCCAGTATGATGAAACCAATAATGAAACACTTGACGATGACAAATGTCAAATGCGCGTTGCCCGTTTCGGCGGCGGTTGAGGCAGAGCTACCATTGTCCTGGGCCTGTCCGCCGGCAATATTTTCCAGGGAAACTGAGCTGCTGGCACTATTCCCCATGCCTTCATCAACATCGATGAGTCCATCGGCAACAAAATTCAAATAACTCGCATGTGAAGCCGCAGCTGCAGCTGCAGCTGCTGCCGCGGCCGCAGCCGCCGATGTTGATCTCGATGCTGATACCGTAGCCGTTGCCTCCAGGAGCAGCGGCATGTAAGCGGGTTGTGACTTCGTCCCCACTCCTCCATCCTCAAGCAGCGTCCTTGCCGCCGTAGTAGCCGTTGCCGTTAGCCTGCGTATGAGTGTCATAGTGTTGGGCGAATTGTTATTGTTGCTGTCGACTCAGTGGTGTTGGGGCAGAGCTTAGTCCTTGGATCCAATGCAATTATTGGCCTGCCATTCACTGATGACTCGTTGCCCTAGAGCATACACATGGTTAGGGGCGCTTGCTGCGCAGGACACGCTGATTGTAACTGTCATTTGTCGTTGTTGTATTTTATTGCTGACAGAAGTTCGCTTGCCAAGTCTGCAATTGAAATGATATCAACGATTTATTAGTGCTCATATTTCATTCATTTCCGCAGTGAAATCTACATTTTTACTATCCTTATTCGATTTGTATCAATTTGGCATTTGTTGTGCCAGTTTAATGAAGCACATCGTGCCAACAATTTATCTACCATCTGCCTGCGGGCCGCATTGGGGACTTAGACACGACACGCCCACAATTTGTAGGAACATGCAAATGCTAAACCAACCCCATAAACACCTTGTGCTTTTGATGGCATTGTACAAATTGTATAACCCCCAGGCATTGGGCTACAAAATTCGCACACAACAACAGCAGCTACACAAAAAACTTGAGCTGAGCTAAGCTGATTCTTTGCTGAGAACAACCAATGAAAATTCTACCTACACAAACATCTGAAATTGTCGGAATTGGCGTGGTCTACAAACGCCCAACGTAATCTCTCTCAACTCAATTGGCTTAATTTGCCATAAATAGCGCCAATGTGTCTGCTGGCAGCAGAATTTTGTGTGGTGCCAGCAAAAGCGACAAAATTTCACGTCCTTCCGCTTACCGACAGCTGTTGCCTGTCAATATTTTATCCTTATCATTAGCGTACGCCAACTTTGCAATTATCTATATACTCAAGCACTCGTACTGCCACTCAGACTCGTATGTAGACTTCTACAATTTGCCAAGTTGCAGGCGTGTAATCAATTCTGAGAAATTTCAAAATTGCACCATGGAATAGAGACGTGGAAATAGAAATATAAATTTTCTTGTAACAATTTAATATTGTCAAACAATTGCTCCAACATAAAGCAAACATATATAAGAGCACGTATATATTCATGAAGCATTTAACCGAGAGATGATTTTATATGCGAAGCAATTATATTTTAAGCAGAAAATAATTACAAAAACTAAATGAAATTAGCTTGGTTTGGATTTTATTGTAGCTCGTAAGACTAATTGCAATAATATCCGCATTACAGCACACAAATTATTACAAGCCTTCAATGAGCAAAACGACTTAAGCAATTAGATCTTTTTTGTCTAAGAATTCATTAAATGCAATAATAAAGTTTTATTATTATTCTGATATATTCTGCATAGATTTTAATTTTCAGATATATATACAAGCCTGTGCGTTCAAAATGTTACATTAAACATTGCATTAGAGCAGAATAAAATAATGAATTTGTATAAGTTTTAATAGGAAGTAAAAGAAACAATTCAAGTTCGTTCACAAGTAATTTTCTCTCAACTAAATTCAAAAAGGTTTGGCTCAATTATTGTTGAGATTGGTTTTTCAACAAATTTAATTGCATAACTCAAAATATCTTTTGCCACAACAACAATCTTATTTTTGATCTGTTGATTTTATTAAGGCACTGATTGGTAGCAGTATATATTTACTTTTGGGGTCAAATAATTTTAATTAAAGTTATTACTTTTAACATTCACTAATAGATGTAAAATGCTAAGTAATGTAATAACAAGTTTACTCAACTAAAGTCACGTTCTAAAAATATTAGAAGGTTTTTTTTATAGGGTATACTGGTTTTGTGAAAATATATGTAACATGCAGAAGGAGACACGAGGCCGAGCTGAGTCGATCTAGCCATTACCGTCTATCCACCTAATTGTCTGTCCGTCTGAATGAAAGCAGCAATCTTTTAAGCCACAAAAACTACAACAAATTTAGAAGGTATAATCGTGTATACCATACGCAGTACAATTTATGCTTCTTTTTATTATCAATATGAATCGACAATGTTACTGCTTTTTAAGCATAACTTAAATACCGTAAATATTGCAGACTTTAGATATACTGTGAAGGTTTCTGTAATGAATACAGAGATGTTGTATATATTTTTCATTTTTCTGCCTCCTTACATTCCCCAAATTCACAAAAAAAAAAACATATTTCAAGTACTAGATTCTTCTGCTTTGCCAAATATAAGCACATGCCATAAGTGTGTCCTGAAAATTAAGAAAGAAAGTTGTCTTACAATTAAGTTCCCATAGTAAAACCCATACCCATACAGAGCGCGTCCTTTTGCATGCATGAGTGTGTGTGCTTGTGTGTGCTTGTGTTGCTTGCAATGAATGTATAAAAGAATCGAGAATAACTGGTATATCACCGCTTCGATGGGTTCAGGGTATATCCAAGACTTTTTTAATGCACGATTTTTTGGTTTTTAAATAAACCCTATTAAACAAAGTTATTAAGGACTAAGAAGGCCAAGTTGTGAGCCAACAGGACGGTCTTAGACAAATATCCTATTGCTATTGGCCACAGTGTAGCAATCTACAAAAGTGATTTAGAGTGTGCGTAAGAGTGTGTGTCTATGTGTGCATTGGGTATCTTTTGATTTACTTCCGGTTAAGCAAACACTTGAGGCTTTGACTTGGAACTCCCTTAAGTTTAACAAACAGCACAGGCTACTATGTGTTTGTGTGTGCGTGGGTTAACAAAATATAAGGCTGATGGGAATGCGTTATGTGTTTTGGGCGCTCTACCTTTAGGTAAATGAGTTTCGTGTCGACACGCATACAACGACACTTGCACACAAAAGCGCGCGCGCACGCTTTTCTTTTTCCATTTCCCATTTGCACATCTGAAGTGAACTTTAAATCAATAACAAAAAAGTACCGAAATGAAAATCTTGAAATATGTCACGCAGTGGTGCTCTGTGGCTTGCCAAGTGCTTTTGTCAACCACATGACAATGCTTCACAACAATACAGGAAGAACAACATAATAGCTGCAGCTGCCTCACAAGTGCCCAATGACTTCGGAGGAAAGGAGAGTTCTCGCTGGAGGAATGGAATATGTATGAAGTCGATTGAGATTGGTTGCCGTTCGCAGGCCCAGGCCTGGGCATACAACAACTTGAGCGCCCAAGGTAAAGATATAGTCCACAGTCACAGTTGCCAGCTCTATTCAGCCAACTCACTGTCGGCCGTGGTCCCAGTCGCTGTCCCAGTCCTAGTCCAGATTGTTAGCCAACTCGCGAACGCTTTTTACGCTTTCTCTTCTTTTGCTTATTCTTTTTCTTTTCCTTTTTACTTTTTTCGGCTTTTATTTGTTGTTAAAGTATCTGGGATTTGGCAGAGCTTGTTTGCTTTTGGGATTCATTCATTCTATGTATAGAAGGTCATTGTACAATGGTACAGATAAGCATTTCTTGGTTAAGAAACAGTGCAATATCAATTAGAAAAAAAAATGTTTCACTTCTAATTATCAAGAAGTTGGAATTATTTTGATAATCACTTTTATTTCAACTTGTAATAAATCCCAAGAGAGAGTAGGAGAGACATAAAGAGAGACAGAATAGACAATATATATAATAATATCTTATTATATATAACATATATACGTATACATATTATCCTAAAAAATTTCTTAAAAATTTTTTTAATAGTCAGTAAATAATATTATTATATTTTATTTAATTTCTACGCCTTGCATTTCTTGCCCACAGTACTGAGTTTTGTTGAGTTTATGGGCTGGTGGGTTAGTGGGTCGTTCACACGACGCTCCATTCATATTGTGACGGGATGTGATTCATTTCGTTTGGGCTGCCCATTGTTGAGGTGCAATGGTGAATGACTCGCTGGCTGGGCGAATGGCTGACTACCTGCGTCGCAATTGTTGGATATTCTTTTTCTTGTTGGCTTATAAGTTATTTATTCGTACTTATTCTTGCTTATTTGAATTTGCGGTGTTTATTTACAGCTGAGCATTGGGCGAAACCAAGCGGCAGCTGTTTGCATTGGATATCAGCCGCAATTCACTTACACACTTAGATACAGACATACACAAAGGTCAGTAGATCAACTAAAGAACTGTTCTATATTAGACCTTAATTACTTTCTTTGTGTTGGAGTCTTTGGGTTTTTAAAAACACTTTTCGACAATTTTAATTAACTTTTTATTTATGCAGGCCACAAGATTTTTAACCAAATTTCTCTTTTTTATTTACGCTAATTGATTTTATTCTAAAATTGGGGCTTAGCTGACAGACCGATTTGGTCAAGTACCGAAGTGCCAAAGTACTGATCAAGTAGTGAGCCTGGGGCTCTCTAACTTGGGTCATTTATCACAGCAGTATTAATGTAGGCGACAGCAACAAGGACGGCGACACACAGATATATTGCCCAAGTCTCTGTCCAGATTCGAATTAATTGAGTGCTAAAAATGGCAAAGACAAAGGCCGAGTCCAGATAAAAGGACGCGCAGAAGGACAAATGAAATCAAGCGAACATTTTTGCTTACCAAAACAGCAAATCGAACCAAAAGCGTAAGCAAATCGAATGCCAACGAATCGAAACTAATTGGGCGCCTTGAAATATGCAAAGATAAAGCCGCTGCGGTCAGCGTACCGAACGGTCGCGGCAGCTAAAGAGAACAAGTTGAAGGAATTTCGGTTTATAGCGACCATTTGATAAATCAAATAGAAAAGGGAACATGGAAACTTTGGGCTGCCCATGAAACACGAGAATTACAAGAAAAAACAACATCGCATGGCGTATATGTTACTCAATGTGTGTATGTGTGTGCCTCATGACCTTGCGAGTGCTGCGAACTGTATCGGGCAATCAGCTGCCAGTGCGGAAGTAGCAGTTCAATTATTCATCTACCCACAAACAATTTTTTTGCTTCTTTGCTTGATTATGACGGAGCCGCATGCAACATGGGGCACGGCATCTAGAGTGAAATACGGCACGCACACACACAAGTATGTAGATTGCTGACCAACTGCAAATTGGCCATCTCCTTGGCCTCGAGCATTTACATTTTAAATTGCAGCAATAGCTATATTTGCATTTGCCAGCAAAATGGCCTCAAATACGCGTTACAAATTTCTGAATAACGTTTTTTGTACACAATTTGAATTTAGTTTACATAAATCTCACACACACACGCACACACCACATGCAGCCCGTGCTGAACAAGACATTGAGACATTTTGCGGCTAGCATTTCAATGGCTTTTCACTTTCTGTAGTC